CATTTAAGGAGAAATTAGTGGAGAAAAATGCTTAAAGTATTTTTAGATAGGACAGTCAGAAAGGTAGGGAAAGAGCCAAAAGCTAATACTTCTACCATTAATTTTTTTTTTAAAGCTGTAGTGACCTGAATAAGCTGGCAGAGATCAGAGATCAGGAAGCGTCAAATTACATAACAGTCTGGATTTTCCAATTCTGTTGTAATTAATATTTTAAAAATCAGGGCCATTTCCTCCTGAGGTTCTTTTTTTAAAAAAAATAAGGCCATGGAGCCTTATTTATTTATTTATTTTGTTAATACTCACCTGAAGGTATTTTTCCATCAATTTTTAGAGAGAGTGGAATGAAGGGGGAGAGACAGAAAGAAACATCAATGTGAAAGACACATGGATTGGTTGCCTCCCATACTAACCCCGGACCAGGACCAAGGATCAAGCCTGCAACTGAGGTACCTGCCCTTGACTACTCTATCCACTAAACCCGTGGCCGGCAAACCGTGGCTCGGGAGCCACATTTGGCTCTTTGGCCCCCTGAGCGTGGCTCTTCCACAAAATACCACGTGTGGGTGCACACATACAGTGCGATTGAAACTTCGTGGCCCATGCGCAGAAGTCGGTATTTTGTGGAAGAGCCACACTCAAGGGGCCAAAGAGCCACTGGTGGCTCGCGAGCCACAGTATGCCTAACCGCAGTTTGCTGACCACTGCACTAAACCAAACCAGCTAGGTCACTTCCTAAGGTTCTTAAGTAGTGACGCCAATTTGAGTGGAAAATACTAAAGGGATTAAACATAATTGTACATTATCTACTGTTTTAGTCGAGGAGTATCTATGGTTGCTCTACACAAAGAAAATTGGTAATGTATTTCTTATTAAACCAAAAATTGTTGTTAATCGTAATAAACTGAAGAGAAAAATGTTTACTTTCAATCGTTCCTGACTTCTTAATTGTTATACACTATCTCACGCCTGACTTCACAAAACTCAATTAACTATATAAAATCTTACAAGCCTTATATAACAATGAAAAGTAAGCATGGATGAAGTAACAACCTATAATGCTAGTAATTAGGGGAAAGTATTACCAATACAATAAAAATTTATCAGGAATGGAAAGAATTTTTGATGTTGGAAGAAAAAAAATAACTTGAAAGATAAAGGGAGAAATAACAAAGCAAGGGTCAATTTCCGTTTCTTCTTTTTTTTCGATTTTTGTTTCTTGATTTTAGCTTTACTTTATCTACACTTTTGGCAGGCTACCTAAAAAAATCACTCACTCTTGGATGGCTGTATTAACCTGGAGTGACTCCCAAGTGTTTGGTCCCACCCATACAGAAAAATGCCACACAGAACTTAAAAAAAATCTACAGGCAGCATATTTTCAGATGAGCACCTAAAGCGAAATCAGTGAAACAAAGAAAAGACATGACATGGGAAAAGGTAACAGCATTTTCTTTGAGTAGGATAGGGGGAACTCCCAAGGTGTGTGTCATTAGCCAAAGCTGGAAAAGCAGGATTCAGAGCACACATGCAGCTCTCTAGACCAGACAAAAAAAAGCTGTGCTGGGTTAGTGCTTCTAGAGTTTGGGCGAGTCAGACAGAGTGAGGAAGAAAGCACTACCACACTCAATTTCAGCATATGGGAAAACTGTGTGGCTGCTTTCTTACCTTTTGGTTTATTTCCTCTCTTACTAATTTACTATTAAAATATTTTAATTACATTCAAGGAAGCTAAAATGAAAGTTACCTCAGAATTTTATTACTTCAAGTATCTGGACAGGCTTTGCCACATTGCTTTGCACATAGACTAGACCAAGGGTGGGCAAATTTTTTGACTCGAGGGCCACAATGGGTTCTTAAACTGGACCGGAGGGTCGGAACAAAAGCATGGATGGAGTGTTTGTGTGAACTAATATAAATTCAAAGTAAACATCATTACATAAAAGGGTACGGTCTTTTTCTTTTTAGTTTTATTCATTTCAAACGGGCCGGATCCAGCCCGCGGGCCGTAGTTTGCCCATGGCTGGACTAGACTAACATATAAAGCTAGCATCACTATCACAAACAACCTTTCTAGCATTAGACAGTTTGATTTTGTTAATTAATATAACAACCAATTTGTAAAAATTTATTTCTATGGTTACTAGCAAGGATTAATGTATATTTATTACATACATTCATCTTGAACAAACTGCTTGTTTCTTTGGCCATATGTTTATCTACAATAATCTTGATGGCCTTCTTTTATTTTAGAAAGGACATTTTCTGTGTTATATATATTAATCTTTCTGTCATAATGAATGCAAATGATGCCCCATTTCCATTTCTTTTGGAACAAAAGTTTTCAATGTTTATTTAGATACCCACTGATTTGATTTGCCTTCACTTGGGAGTAGGCTATAGTAGTTACTCATCTACCAATAAATCCTGAAGTTTCCATTATTATATAGTCACACTGCCTGTCTTAGAACTTTTTATCTGCCTGCTCCAATCATTACCCTTTAATTCTTTTCTATCATTTGTGTTTTTCTTTATATATATCTAAATACATATTATTGGTTTCAGAGAAGAAGAGAGAAGGAAAGAGAGATAAAAACATCAATGATGAGAGAGAATTATTGATCAGCTGCCTCCTGCATGTTTCACACTGGAGATCAAGCCTGCAAGACTGGGAATTGAACCATGGACCTTCTGGTTCATAGGTTGATGATTAACCACTGAACAACACTGGCTGGGTTTTTAAAAATTTTTTTAATCCTCACCTGAGGATATGTTTATTGGTTTGAGAGAGAGAGACAGGGTCAGAGAGAGAAACATCAATGTAAGAAACATTGAACCCGCATGTATCCCAACGGAGGATCAAACCCATAATCTAGTATGTGCCCTGACGGGGAACTGAACCCGCAACCTTTTGGTGTGTGGGATAATACTCCAATCAACCGAATGTGTTTCTTATCAAATATATTGCTATCATCCATTCTTTAAAAGAAATATTTTTGTGGCTAAGCAGTAATATGAAATTTAATGGGTTCTAAGCAATTCTACTCCTAGGTATCTACCCAAGTGAAATGAAAACACAAGAACTGTACACAAATGTTCCTAGCAGCATTGTTCATAATAACCAAAAGTTGGAAGTAATCTAAATGTCCATCAACCACTGAATACAGTAAGATATATTGTCCCTCCAGGGGCTGGGTGGATGTGGACAGATGGAGGGGGGGGCGGGGAGATGGGGGCCATCTGTAATTAACATTACCCAATTAGGAGAAGATACGAAAAGTATACACTTGGGGAATTGGGAAGCACTGAATTAAATCTCTGGGAAAATAGAATAAGATATCTGACATATAGGACATGTAGGATAGGAACTCTCTCATATCTGTACTTACACAAACAACTCATACTAAAATAAAATCTAATCCCTAAACAAGCAGAGCTCTCTCTTCTTGTCTGTGAGGCACAAAGTTTTCTCAGGGCTATTTTGCCCATCAAGCCAGAAAACACACCACCTCTCTTCTGTTATGGGGGTTAGCTAGGTATGTTTTATAAACAAAAGTTATTATGATTAGAGGAAAATGTCCTCTAATATTAGTTATGAGTAACAAATCTATCTGTCAACTGTGGCCATCTAACTCCCACATTTTATTTCCTGGCAATGTTAATCTATTAATTAACTCTCTAACACAGAAATAATGATCCCCGTAGTGGGCAGCCTATTGCAGCTACACTATATAGAAAAGAGGAGAACTTCTGAAAATCTAAAAATAAATGTATGAATATATAACTTTCAATCTTACCCTTCAGAGGAAAAAAAAATCATCATCTTCATTATAACTGCCACTATAAATTGAGGTACCACAGAGTGACTTGCTCACAAATATTTCCAAAACAATGGATGCCACCCTCAGTCACGCTCAGGGTAGGGCCGATTGGAGGGTTGGGGCACCGCCACCTGTCACACTCAAGGCAGGGTCGATGGGGAGGTTGTGGTGCCACCCCGTCACCCACAGAGCAGGGCCAATCAGGGGGTTGGGGCACTGCCCCCTGTCACTCACAGAGCCGCAGGGTGATCAGGGGGTTGGGGAGCTCCCTCCTGTAAGGAACAGCGCAGGGTGGATAGGGAGGTTGTGGCCCCGCCCTCTGTCACACACAGTGCTGCTGAAAGCAGGTTTCTGGCCTTTCTTTACCTTCTGTATTTGAAACAGTGTTGCGATCCTGCTGGCTGAAGCCCGACGGACTAAAGCAGGTTTCTGGGGTTTTGTTTAGCTTCTATATTTGTAACATAGTTACTTAGAGTTGCAGCTCAGAGGCCTGCAGCAGCCGGCGGGGAACGTTGTAGTCCTCCATCACTGAAGCAAGCAAGCCTCATGTTCGCTTCAAGATGCCTGGCTGCCGGCCGTCATCTTGGCTGACAGTTAATTTGCATATCGCCCTGATTAGTCAATGGGAAGGGTAGTGGAGGTACGGCTAATTACCATGTTTCTCTTTTATTAGATAGGATAGGTCTACTGATTATATATGGTAGATTTTGGGGAATTAATCTCTTATGAAACTGCTATATATCTTTAGGCAATATCTCTGATATTATTCTTAGATTAAGTCCCTGGAAACGGCATTACTGAGTTAAAGGGTATAACAATGTCTAACACTTATGTGGTACTCATTATTGCCAAACTCCTCTATGTACTTCACCTTGTTTAATCCTTGCCACAACCCTATGAGAGAAAATGAATGCCCAGAGAGAACAAGTGACTTGCGCATAACTGTACAACTAGAAAGGGACATAGTCACGATTTACATCCAAGTAGTCAGGCTATAGGAGCCATGCTCTTACATCACCATGCTCGTCTTTTTTTTTTTAAGTATATTTTTATTAATTTCAGAGAGGGAGATGGAGAGAGAGATGGAAACATCAATGATGAGAGAGAATACTTGATTGGCTGCCTCTCACATGCCCCACACTGGGGATGGAGCCGCACCCAGGCATGTGCCCTGACTAGGAATCGAACCATGACCTCCTGGTTCATAGTTGATGCTCAAACACTGAGCCACGCTGGCCAGGCCACACTGGACTATTTTAATTCCACACTTTTTCAACTACATGATGCTGGTCTACTAGAAGTTTGCTACAAATGTACAAAACTCATCTAAGGAACCTGTGCTTTAATAAGCATCCCAGGAGATTCTACAGTTTGAAACCCATTATTTTGATCTAAAAATGTAAAAAGAGGGCATTTAATAAACCCTCCCCATAAAAATCTTAATAATTATATTGATATTTTAAATATGGATGGGAGGACCAAGAGAGTATTCAAAAATGGTTCAAGTGAATCTTCATGACCTTTGATTAGGCAATGGCTTCTTAAATACAACACCAAAAGCACAGTGACAATATAAATTTACAAATTTAAGATTAAAAATTATTTAAAATATAAAATATAAATTAAGCTTAATCAAAATTAAACTTTTGTGCTATAAAAGACACCATCAGGACATCTATTATCTTATTACACTTATATGAGGCACCTAGAAGAGGTAAACTTACAGAACTAACAAGTAGAAATAGTGGTTACTATGGCCTGGGAAAGAACAAGAAAGGGAGTTATTGTTTAAAGGGCAAGAGATTCTATTTCATCTCTCTCTCTTTTTGACAATCTCTTCCATGGTAGCTATTTGGGCTACTCAACCCAGGATTCATAACTTTCAAACACATTACATTCAAGACAGCTTAAATTTTATATTCTCTCTTCTTAAATGCTCTAATTTAATTAGAGCAACATGGTTATCCTTTACTCCTATAAACACTCCAGGATTGCTCTTACATTCAAATGAAACACATGGGAAGGGCTGGAGCTCAGTATGAAGAAAAAAGAAGATCTGGACTGGCAACGAATTTTCACATTTCTGTAGCTTCACAGAGTGCTCCTTGTTGTTGGCATGCAGCAAGAAATCTTTGTCTTTTGTAAGACTGAGGCTTACCATTAATTTGTGACAATCAACACAAAAACCTGTTTCACTTGCAGGTAACTGCAAGACAGAGTAACAGAATAATACCTTGTATTTCTCTTGTTTTTCCCTCTAATCTTCAACATAGATCTCATAACCTCCATCCGCAAAACCAAAAGTAATGGATTGATCGCTATATGTGTTCAGGGAAAAAGAACATTCTAAGATACTTGAGCCATCAAATGTTCTAGTATCTTTCTAGACCACAGGCATATCAAAGGGGAAGGCCTCCACAAATTGTTCAAGGTGTTCCAGGTGCTTCCAAAAGGTAGTGAATAGCAGATGTGGCTCTTTGCAATTTCCAACTGTTTCTGGTGAATGCCTTTTGACAGTTTCTTTCCTAAAGTAACAGGTCTTCTTTTCTATGACAAGGCCAGAACATAGCTGCATAAAGTACATCTTGTAAATTTCTTTGGCCTTCTGTTGGGATTTTCTCAACCCAGAAGATTTTACCAGGGCTTTTCCCGCTGAGTTGTTCATCTTTGCTGGGGAAATTTTGGTGGTTGAATACCTCATTCCAGGCTTTATTTTTCAGGCTTCTTGGGCTTTAGCAGAGGAAGGGCAGAGTGGACTACAACTATGTGAGGAGAGTCTGGGGTTGGTGGCTCTGAGGAGAGAGCTGAGAGGACAGCCACTAGGATCCCTATACTAAGTTATTCCTCCATACCACAGAAGCCATCTCTCTCAGGTAGAGAGTTCTCATCCAGGCAGAGCGTTCTCGTCATGCAGAGCTTTCTATTTCGGATGATGGAAAAGTTCAGGATATGGATGAAGGTGATGGTTGCATAAAATTATGAACATATTTAATCACATTAATGTCACTGAATTGTACACTTAAAATGGTAAATTTGTTGTGTATATTTTATCATAATAATAATAATAATAAAAATAACAAAGCACCATCAAGACAATCTACTGAATGGAAAAAAAAATTGCAAATCACTTATCTGATAAGGGAATTGTACCCTGAATATATAACTTAATGATAAAAACTTAATGATAAATTAAGTTTAACTTAATGATAAATTAATTTTTAAAACAGGGAGAAGATGTTAACATTTCACAAAAAATATATACAAAAGGCCAATAAGTACCTGAAAAGAGCCTCAATAATACTAGTTGTTAGGGAAATACCAAAAAAAAAAAGGGGGGAGGAGGGAAGAAATACCACTTTATATTCACTAGATGGCTACAATAAAAAAGACAGGAAAAAGTATTGACTAGGACGTGGAGAAATTGAACCTTTATTATACACTGCTGGTGGGGCACATATAATAGGCCAACCACTTCGGAAAACAGTTTGGCAGTTCCTCAAAATGTTAGGTATGGAGCTACCATACGACCCAGTGAATTAAAAACATATGTATAAAAACTTGTATGTTCTCAGTAGCATCCTATATAATAAAGAGCTAATATGCAAATGGTTGTCACCGGGACTGGGAGACCTGAGGCCATGCCCCCTGCATCGGCACCAGGGCCAGGGGACCTGAGGCCACGCCCCCCCACCCAGCACTGCTTGATGGGAGACCTGAGGCTGCGCCCCCCACATCAGCACCAGTGCTGGGGGACCTGAAGCTGCACCCCCTGCCCAACCTGGTCTGGATCTCACTTGATTTCGAGGCACATGCGGGTCGGCGGGGACTTGAATCTGGGTCCCATGGTACACCCCAGACTCTGACAAGAGGGAGATTTTAATACACATTTTACTAATTTTCTTTCATCTCTGACACTTCTATTATAGAGAAAGGGCAAATAGCAATATTAAAATATTTCCTCTAATTAATTCCTTTTTAATGTGCACAAATTTTGTGCACCAGGCCACTAGTTATTCATAATAGCCAAAGAGTAGAAACAACCCAAATGACTATCAACTGATGAATGAATAAGTGAAATGTGGTATATCCCTATAATGGCATATTATTTGGCAATAAAAGGTATGAAGTATCAATACATGCTACAACATGGATAAACCTTGAAAACACTATGCTAGATGAAAGAAGGCAGACACAAAATCATATAACATATAATAGCATGTTATATGATTCCACTTATATGAAATATCAAGATAGACATCTATAGAGACAGAAAGTAGACTCATTTGTGGTTGCCAGGAGCTAGGAGAGGGGAAAATGGGGAGTGATAGCTAATGAGTACAGGGTTTCTTTCTGAGGCAATAAAAATGTTCTGGAACTGAGTGGAGTTAATAACTGCACAATTCTGTGAATATATTAAAAGCCACTGAAGTGCACACTTAAAAAAGTTAAAAATAAACTAAAAAGATAGTTAAGAAATTCAGGATAAGGACATGAATTCTGAAATAAAGTGCTTAGAAAAGTCTTTATGGAAACCACAGACATGAAAACAAGGATGGAGATGTCAAAACTGTCAAAAAATTAAAAAACTAGGCAAGTACAGTGTGATGCAAACAAAGTTTGAAAAGTTCTATTAAAATTCATACTTAGGAGATGGGAAAGTGAAAACAAAATCATTCAATGACTCATCTAAGAGGTTCCCTAATGACTTTGAAATAACCAGAATATGTTAAGGACATATGATAGTATTGCTTTTGCACAGCAAATTTGACGACCTGAACTATGTTGAATTCCCTGTCAATAAATGAGAAGCACTCCCATTTGTCCTAAATAGGCTGAGATGATGATGAAAGATGGTTGAATGTCAGCTCCATGGGGGGCAGGGACTTTGTTTTGTTTAATAAAGAACAGTGCTTGGCACACAGGAAATGGTCAACAATTATGGCTAAGTAAATCAACAGCACTTTGAAATCTACAGAATACTGTACGTATGTTTTAGGAATTTGCATTTAGATGAGAAAGTTCTACACACCTAGAAGTGGAATGTTATAGGTGGAAACCCAGAGAAACTAGAGTTTCAGGGAAGAAAAGAATTTCCCTCTAATATCACACTGACCGGAGGCAAATAAGCCTACATAACTTGCTTATGGTTTTTTTTTCAAGTGAAATAGAGTTTATTAGTGAAGCAGTGAGACAGAGCACAAGTTACTCCACAGACAGAGCAGCCCTTGTTATGTTCTTAAATGTTTAAACATATTCCATAAATGATAAAAGCATAATATACTAATTAAACCAGATGACCTTCTGGACAAAGTCGGGGCTGCAAGGGAAGCCCAGGTCCCGGGTGCCTGCCAGCGGCCAGAGGGAAGCCTAGGCCCCGGGTGCCTGCTGGCAGCCGGAGGGAAGCCCAGGTCCCAGGTGGCAGAGGTAAATCGGTGCCAACAGTCGGGGGAAGCAAGGCCTACCCTTGCATGAATTTCGTGCATCAGGCCTCTAGTATTACATAAATTTCCCTTATTTTTACATAGTATAATAGAAACTATAAGTGAGTCCATAAACTTCTAAAGAGTTAATGATTTAAATGGTAAAAATAATTATATACACAGAATTCATCATTGTCAAGTTAAAGAAACACCAAAAGACATATGAAAACATGCTCAAAGTCACTAATTATACGAGAGATGCAAATCAAAACGACAATGCGGTATCATCTCACACCTGTTAGAATGGCTATCATCAACAAAGGACAAGTGCTGGAGAGGATGTGGAGAAAAAGGAACTCTTCTGCACTGCTGGTGGGAATGCAGACTGGTGCAGCCACTATGGAGAACAGTATGGAGCTTCCTCAGAAGACTAAAAATGGAACTCCCATTTGACCCAGTGATCCCACTTCTAGGAATATATCCCAAGAAACCACAAACACCAATCAGAAAGGATATATGCACCCCTATGTTCATA